GTTGAGTTTTACCGTTTTCGAATCCATTCAGCCGATCTCCGGGTCTGGCGGTAGCACTTTTAGCTTAGCTTAGCATAGATCATTGAATCTGATTAGACCGTTAGCATCTTGCTCAAAAATGACCAAAGCGTTTTTATATTTTTCCTATTTAAAACTTGATTCTTCTGTAGTTACATCGTGTACTAAGACCGACGGAAAATTAAAAGCTGCGATTTTCTGTGTAATATCATTGCGCCTGCTGCACCCATGGTACGGCAGCAAAGTTCCTTGATTATTACGCCGGAATGAGAGTATAGTTCCTAGCCATATTGGCCTAGAAAATCACAACTTTTCATTTTCAATCGAAAATGAGCCTATTTTCAAAAATAGTGGAGTGTTCCTTTAACACATACATCAAAGTGCATTTCATTGAACTTAATCTGCCTGTTTCTTTAGTTTTGGAGATTTTAACAGTATTGTGATCTGATTTTTGATGTTGCTTTTTTAGATTGACACAAACCAACATCACAGAATTCATAATGTCCATTGCTAATATACTGAAGTTTCAACTGTTGTTAAGTAATTTGCTGGAGGATTATGTCATTATTGAAAGGGATATTTAGGCCAAAAATGAAAATTCTCTCATTTATTCACCCTCATGACACTCTGTGAATGGAGGCCTCAGATATTGCAGGTATATGTAAGTTAATAAAAAGCTGAAAGTGACAAGAGGCCAAATACCAAAACACCTGCAAACCAAATTTTTATTGTAAATCTTAATCTGTAGATGGAAAACAAGCTAATGTACATTCAAAAACTCTTTGGATAATAAGGCAGCCTATGTATTGTTTATGGAGCAGATAAAATGTATATCATTTATCATTTGTCTCACACAAATGATTTAAAGGCTGAAATGTGAGGTTTATAATTTAATAAAACTTTTATTTGTAAAATCTTTATTTGAACATGTAGTACATGTTAGTAGATAACATGTTATGTTGTAATATGTTTTTGCTTTTTAAAATCTATCCATAATTTTTAATGTCATTATTTTAATGTTAATTAGCATAAAAAATGTGTATTGTGTGATTTTCAAAATAAAACTTGATGAAATGATTTCAGTGCATGTATGAGTTCTTTTTGAACATGTCTAGTCTATTGTAACGTATTGATAACCGTGATCATTTTGGTCACTATAATCATGATATGAAATGTTCATATCCTTTGATCTTTTTGTAAAATACCTCAGATTCCAAGCAGGTGTCAGTTAAATGTTTTTGTGGTTTTTGGGCAGCTTTTGGGCATTATGTTCCACTTAATATGTATTCCACTTAATACTATAATATGTTTTTATCCCACTGATGAGGAGAAGATTAAATAAGGAAAGAGTATAAATGAGTATTTCTGCTATAAGAAGAAATGTAAATATTCAAAGAAGTCTTTTTCATTGATTATCACATTATTCTTATATTTATATTCTAGAGATAAAGACTTTTTGTTATTAAGTGTCACTTTCTCTTTCCTGGACCTCATGCCTTTCTGCTGGAGATGAGTGTAACACTGGTGAAGAAAATTATCTTGAGCATGCTCTCATGGATGTCTTTGGGAAGGAGGCTTTAGATTATTACATGATATTGTTCATGCTCAAGGTTGATGCCCATGATTCAAGAAAAAACGGCTGTGTTAAGATGTGCAGTCATCTGTACGAACACTTATCAAAATGTTGAAGGGATCCAAAATAAAGACTTTTTCAGAAATAATTGAAACTACTACCTAAATGCCAAATGTTACTTTCAAACAGAGTTTGAAGTTGAAAAAGAAGTGGCAAGAGAATTCTTAGAAAACAAAGAGAGACAATTTACAGAATTAGAAAGAAAGCATACAGAGAGAGTGAGAGAATCGAAAAATGCTCACGAGAAGGACCTAGAGACCTTAAAGCACAATATAATCTCTTAAAGGGGTCATAGGATGCTACATGCACTTTTACAAGTTGTTTGAACTGAAATGTTTCATTTAAATTAAAAAATCTGGTTAAATGTTTTCCCCTTTCTCAAATCGAGCCGATCTCAGATGCCTGTCTGTGTGACGTCACAAACACAGGCCCCTCCCACGATTTAACTCAGTAGTCAGTCCTATTAAAAGTGCCGATTAATTTGGGCTAGAACTGAATAATGTAATAAATAATAAACTGACGTCATGCGCGCGCAGACGAAATTCAGTCGCAGTGCAGAACACACGCACACACACGCACGCACACACACATCTTAGACTGTGTGGTTAAAATAGAGCGAACATTAGCCTACATTACATAGATCCAGACTGCTGCTCCGGATCCTGGTGTGTGTCACAAACTAACAGGCAAGAACAGCTTTTCCTTTCACTTTCGATATAAAAAACGATGCTGATGTTTGTTTTGGGGTTGTTATGGCCGTGTACGCTGTTTCACCGATATATTTTTTCCCTAAATAACCATTTTTGTTGATTGTTGATTCCTTTGTTGATTTTGTCACACGAAGCGCAGTGTTGCCAGATTTTGCATGAGTCAGAGTTTTGAATCATAGAAAGAATTAAGTCATTCATGAGCATAGGAAACATATAAACAGACAGCATCAATTTAAATGCTTAAATTATTAATAAAAATGTATAATTAAGGTAAGACACTACAGGCTAAAACTTTTTTTTTTTTTTTT